GTCGTAATAGGTAGGTAGGTAGGTAGGTAGGTAGGTAGGTAGTAGTCGTATAGTAGTCGTATAGTAGTCGTAGTAGGAGGAGGAGGAGGCCCCCCCCACCTACCAACTACCTCTCCTAAACACTGTTTAAGCGCACATCCGTTTTCGTCGGTGTTTACAGTACTTTCGTGGTATCCGAGTCCAATACCAACCACCGCTGTTGAGGGGTGAGAGGGGGAGGTGGCCATGATGACGTACTTTTTCATGTAAGAGCACATACATTTTGCTCGGTATTTATAGTACTTTCGTGATGTTGTCGTCAATGCCAGCGATGATGATGATGATGATGATGATGATGATGGGTTTGGCCCAGGTAGTTGGTAGGTGGGGGGGCTGGTAGTAGTAGTCGTCGTCGTCGTAGTAGTAGTAGTAGTAGTAGCAGCAGCAGCAGCTGCTGTACCACTCCCGCAGCAGTGGCAGAATCCGGAGTACTGGCAGCAGCCATCGAGCAGACCTCGACAGCATGCCTGTCATGTTGAGGGGGCGTGGCGGTAAGTTAAAGGGTCTCCACCAACACTGAACACGCAGCGCAGGACCATGCTCGGCAATTGGCCTCGTTGTCTCAGCAGCTGCAAAGCATGGAGAACCTCTTGAAGCAGCACGATGCCTCTTGTCTTGCTCAGCCATGGATGCTGTTTGCAAGGCTGCTAAGCCGACTCGTAGTGGTCGGACTCACAGTTTTGAGGGGGGGGGAGGAAAGGTGGCCTTACGATGGCCTTGCCGAGGCCAAAGTAGGATGAAGCCGTCTCTGATCTCGGACTTGTTGGTTGGGTCCATGGCGGACCCGTAGAGCTGGATGTACGTGTCTCTGGATGTCACTGGTGAGGATTCCAGTATTTGTAAACGCTTCGCGTCGTCTGCTTCGGCCCGGTCGGAGGTGAAGAGTAGTCTCCACATCACTGCACGACGAACGCGGGGGTGCGGGGGGCGAGGGGACCGCGAGGCGAATTGAAAGGACGGGACAGATTCTTGGTTGTGTCTGTACCAAGCGCCGAGAGCACGAGACAAACTCCCAGGACCCCTTCCATATGCCGCCGCGGAAATCAGACGGTTCACCGCGGCTTGTGGCATCGCCCTCACGGTCCGGGCTCTTCATGGCTCCTTGGCCTCACTGCTTAACATGCCTCCATCTAGTCTAGATTCGAACTCTGATCGTCTTTTTCAGTTTGTTTCGGTTATCTACAAGGTGAAGGCTGAGCATCCCCATGAACCTGAACCCGAAACACTGGGAGTCGGGTTGGTCTTGTTCCTGTGCTCGTGTTGTGGTTGTCGGTCGCAGGAGACGTTTCGTTAGGGGTGTGCGAAGCTGGCAGTGTAGGAGCCTTGGCAGCTCTCAAACACGTTGTGGCAGTGGTTTGCTATCCTGTTGCTTCCGTTCCGGCCACTGCAAGTGAATAGTTTTTAAGTTTTTTGAAGCAGACGAGCGATGCTTATGGGAGTTGGTTTGGATTTGGATTCCCACTCCTGCCTTGTCCAATAAAGTGTCGGTCAAACGTTTTTCGCTACTTCGGTTGGCTGCAACCCTCGACCCACTGGCTGCGGCAAGCCTCGCCTGCAGTGTCCGAGCAGGTCCGAGTGAGTGTCGCACCCCTGCCCTGAGCCAAACCTGAGCACCAAGGACCACAAACTCCCAATGAAGAATCAGGACAGGGATACTGGAGCTGGTGATGCCAAAACAAGACAGGCTTCAGAAGCCACGGGCTTCAGCTTGGCTGGCTCGGGGTGTCTTGCCGTAGCAGGAAAACCCTTCGATTCGCATTCTTGCCACCAGGACGTGACGCCAGCCAGCTGCTCTACCGATCTGGAGATTGCACAGGCAGCTCTTGCTGTGGAAGGGTGGGGGGATCCTAACTTGACTAGACAGGAAGAGAGACAGCCTCGAAACTCCAGGCACGGTGGGAGGCGCTGGTGCAGATGCTGTTTGGCAGCATGGGGCTGCGAGTGTCAATGTCTGGGATCAGCGGGACAAGGGCGTGCATTCTTACTTGTAGATGCTTGAGATGCTGGCTGGTGTGTCACATACAGTCATTAGCTGCAGACCCACCGACCGCCCCAAACCCTCTGACATATTGAGACTTCCGAGGATCGAGCTCGAAGAGCAGAGCCGCGCGAGGGATGTGGCAGAGCTGCGGATGCTCATAGAGCAGAGCATCCGAGGTCGAAGACGGGAGGAGAGGGGTACCAGACTATTCTGTTCTATGCCATTCTATTCTATTTTGTTCTATCATACTTCTAGCGCCATAGGGAACACCTCAGAGTTCTTAGGGTGTCGCTAGGCCAACGCTGCTCTCTTTCTTGCCTATGCGGGTGACGTCTTGGTCTTCGTGGGGTCGTAGAATCGCAGCTAACTTCAAGAAAACCCGAATATGGAACAATCCCACTTAGACTTGGCTTTTTCGCATGGGTTCAAATCCCCAAACACCCAAGCAGGAACGAAATCCTCGTGGCTAAGTTGGCTTTATTTGGCCATGCAGTCGGATCACACCCCGAGCCCCAAACCTTGTCTGTTGCATCGGAATAAGAAGTGCTAGACTGATCCGTCCGTTGTCTCGCCCCTCTATCCTGGTGCACAAGCTGGAGCCGTATGATTATGAAGTTAGATATCAAGCTTGTGCTGCACTTTGCTACTAATCGGCAGTGCGCGTGGGAGGCAAGCCAGATCTATCGTCCAGCAAGACTGCGGGCTGGTCGTTGGAAGTTCTTTTTCTGCAGATTGAAGGTCGGGGGCGAGTGTGAGATTTAGCGTCTCTTAGTGCGTAGTGGGAGGGTGTGTCAACACGAGGTTCCATCACATTGCACAGGTTAGCAGAAGTTGAACAGAACACTCATGCACGTCCTCTGTTGCTCCCGAATATAACGACACAGTGCTCAAGGCCTCGTTTATCCGACCTGGCAAACAAAGCGTGTGTGCCATTGCTTTGGCCCTCTGCAAACGACGCCCCAGATCGAATCTCCACCCCTCAGACGCTACATGCCAAGGGACGGCTGCAGGAGATGATGGTGTCACGGCTGCAACACTAATATGGTTTGTAACTTCCAACATGAACGGGCGATTGCTCCCATATGTCGCTGATCCTTTGGATCTTGGTAGCCATTTCGGTCTGATCCGCTTGCTTCATGTCGGACTAAGTAAGTGGAGTTGTACTCTTCAAGTGAGCAGCGCACATCGAAGCACTTGAGTGCACAACCTGCCACTTGCAAAGGCACGCATCGCTGCCCAGGACAGCAGTAGTAGGATGACAGGGCGAGAAGTGGCAGTTTCTCACATGGAAGTTAGATATTGAAAGAAGGTTCAGCGTGGCCTTATGCCTGCAAGTCTGGCCACGGGATGATATCTTGGGATCAGCCGGGCCCCACCAACAGTCCACGCCCAGACACCTCAGGCGCTGCAATCCAATAAGCCCACAGGAAGCGCAGACATTGCAGCTTCAAGCAGCGCTGGCTGCGCTACTTGCTGGCAGAGGATTCCATGAGCGTACGAAATACGGCTCCAAGCACAGGATACAGGATACCATGCATTTCTAATCTTGGCCTTCTCTGCTCATGTTGCCATATTGCGCCCTTTGGCTGTATAAGGTATCTGCAGTAGCCGTTTGATTGTTGTGCGGTTTGTCCCAGTATCGAAATATTGCCTCGGCCGAAGGTACATAGCTCTGTCCAAGGTTCCACAAACAATTTGGAAACAGTGCGCAAGGATTTGGTTACCGGGCCCGCCGTGCGCACATGGCTGGCGCACGGCGGTTCCGCCTATCCAGCGGCCACATCCTCCGAGACACCTAAGTTGTAGAGTCCGAGACTTTGTGGGTTCAAACATTACATGCATGTTTCATATTGTAATTATTACATTATGAATTTTGTTGTTATTACTACTTTACACGTATTATCATTTTTACTATGACCGTCATTTATGATTGTCCAATTTTTTGATGAACCGAGGCTGCACGGATTCCTTGAAGGGTTTAACGAATGTGGCCATACTGTACCGGACATTTTGCTCACACCACAGCGTGGTGTGCACCGTGGTCTCATGAGGCATTTTGCCCGCCTCAGGAATGATCCTGGAAAGGTTCCAGGGTGTTTTGTGCTTCGACTGGCAGGTGCCTTTTCCCCAAATTCAGAAATGTAGCCCTTTGCGGGGGTTTCTGGACCGGAAACAGGTTTGCACAGGATGTGCAGAACTCAGCCACCATGAGAACTTCCACGAGTTTGCTGGGCACCTCTCGCTTTTTTACATGAAAACCATCCCGAGTCCTAGTGGATGCATAGATTTTTCCCCTATGCATCCGTATGATATCTGTCACATGGTTGAGCCCGGGTGATCGTCACACGACGACGGGGAGCAGCTGCATCAAGACACTTAGAACCAGCCAGCTGGTAACCACGCAGTGCGACAAGAAATGCGGTGGGACTTGGACGTGCTGTAAGGCTGTAAGTGATTCAATGCTTTGTGAATGATCACTTTGTTGGCTATATTCTTCGCAGTACTGGTTGCATTGTTCAGTTTTCGCGTGGCCATCATGATCATGTGGCAGGCCTCAGCTCCTTTTCGCAGCCTTTTGGGTGCTGCACGTTCACATGCGGCAGCACCAAGTCTAAGGCCTGAGAAGACATTCAAAACCATCGTGGATGAGCTGCAGGCAGCCGCACATGCTCTCCGTCGGGCATGAAAGCGTAGGGACATTTGGAACAGTGCGGTTCTGCATGTGCCCAAACTCCTTGTGAACGTGCTGTCGCACGTAGAACACAAGAGGTTGGCGAAGCGAGTATCAAAGTGTCCCGCTTTGCCGTAGAAGTTGAGCGGTTATGGCTCTCATACCATTTGCAAGTGCTGGCTGAAGGCGGTGTAGACTGTAGATTTTAAAGGAGAGCTGAGAGGCTGCTTTAACCTAGCAGAACGAGCTTGTCCAGGCCACGCGGGACGAGGCCACCACAGCTCTCCGAAGGACATTTGGCAACACGGAGCAGCTCGTGATTTAAGTGTGGAGTCTCCCGGAGTGTCGCGCCAAGTAGATCTCGGTAATTGGCGCCCGTGGCCTAAGTAATGAAGCTTCACTTGGAGTTCATTATAGGTACACGGCCTATGTCCGCTTGGCCACATCCTGCCACATAGAGTAAACTTATGTAAAGCCTTGGGCATCCTGAAGGACGTCTGCTCGGCTCATGGAGGACTTCGAAACCAAGTTGGAGGTCACAGCCTGAAGACCAGGACTTGGGAAACTTAGACGTAACATTATAAAATCGAAGTAAAACTTAGATATGAAGCCTTTGAATCTCTTTCCCGGCCGGGACAAAATCCATGACCATGGCTGCCTGCCCCAGTCAGTCTTTAAGGCGTGGGCACGGTTCAGCCGGGTAGATGGGACATGGTGGGACTCTGGGACCACCCAGCTGTCAGAGAAAGTGTTGTAGACCCTGCATCCCGCGATCCACAGCACCCGACAGTGAAGTCGACTTTGCTGAGGCCTTGAAGTGTCTCATTACTACGGTTCCCGGTCAAAGCCTCGACAAGACGCAAGAGGTGCAGATTCAGGGCCGGGTGCTCAGCAGGTGATCTTATTCGACTACTCTTGCCAGCAACGCCGTAGGGATAATTGTCAGTATTGTTTGGAGTTTTGAGTGGAGTTTCGGTCGATAGTACTCGTAGTAATCGTCGTCGTCGTCGTCGTAGGAGCAGCAGCAGCAGCAGTAGGAGTAGCAGGGTTCGTGGTCCTGGTTGTTGTGGTGGTGGTAGTAGCAGCAGCAGGAGGAGGAGGAGTAGCAGTAGTAGTAGCAGTAACACTAGCAGCAGGAGGAGGAGAAGGACGAGTAGCAGTAGCAGCAGCAGCAGCAGCAGCAGCCGCAGCGGCAGCGGCAGCGGCAGCGGCAGCGGCAGCGGCAGCGGCAGCAGTGGCATCAGCTGAAGCATGTGCAGGGAGACGGCGCACACAACAACAGCAATGCGTAGGGGTCCGAAACACAGTACGAGAGTTTGCTTCCGCGATCTTTGCGTTATGGTCGTGAACCGTCAGCATCACCAGCGCTAGCAGCTAGCAACACCGTGACCGTGTTATCACCAGCAGCTTCGTCTACGGCATCAGAATCGCCAGCACCGAACAAACAATCTCGTCATGGCCGTCGGAAGAGGGTGAGTATGTAGGGGTCGTTTTGGTTTGGTGAAGCGTCCAAGCTGACCCTGGATGGCCACTGACATATATCGTCATGAGCACTATCGCCAATACCTCCAACAACGTACTTCTAATCATTAGAACGAGAAAACTTAAGAAGCAATTATTGGATATTTAGTTGGCAGCAGCTTTCACCCTAAACCCTAAGCCCTAAACCTAAACCTCCAGAATCGACAAGGCACCAGGCATGGTCGTCGGGTAGATGTCCGGCCTGATTCAGGGTGCACGCTCGACGGCAGCTAAGCCTACTCTACAAAGCAGTTCTAGACCGTCCATAACCCCTTAATCATACAAGAATATCGCACTAGGATCCCCGATCTGATTGCAGGATATTGCAGGTATATTCCTAAATTGAAGCAAGTTGGGAAGTTCTGGGGTACCGCCATGTCTTCACTAGTTCCGGGGGGTGGAATCAATGACCTGCTGTGCGTTGGATTGCTTTTCGCAGGGTTTAGCGTTTTCCGTTCAGGATGGTTGCCGACTCTGTGGCCAAACAGTCTGGGCTCCTCCACTCTCTGGGTCCTGTCCTGCTTGGAGACCCAGGGACTTAGTAAGTCGGTTATAAGTAGGGTTAACATTGGGGTAACTCCATTTAGGGTACTCATAACTCTACTTATAACCTACTTACTAAGTCCCCTGGGCCTGCAAGTGACCATCAGCAACATGACAGGACCTTAAAGCTTGTCTCGAAACCGCAACTGTCATTGTTCTTAGTCGCACCCGACGACGAACTTGGCTGTGTTCGGTGTCAGCATGCTTGCATTCCTCCCGATTACTTGACTTATACAAGTTGGGGGTCTATCGGGGATACTGCATGGGCTCGAAACCTGGGCTGCTAGAGTTTCAGGGTTAGTCAGGCTGAAACTGAAGAGAGCTGATTCTCGCGGTGTAGGTTCTGATTTTTAGTGCAAGGATTTAGGGTTTAGGGGCTTAGGCCGTTTAGGGCTTGATCTCACTTTGCGTTTGGCCAATCTGGCCCGAAATTGCAGGCAAGATGTGGACAACAATTCAGGCACGAACGACTTTTTGACGCTGAGCTGAACCCTGGGTCAGCATGCTCCACGAAGAAACCTCCCAACATGGCAAGCCACGTGCCGAAAGCAGACTAAGCCCTCAACCCAAAGCCTTAAAGGAGACCTTTAGAGGAAACCCCCAGCTCTAAACCCCGAACACTAAACCCCAAAAAACCCAAAGCCCTCCGAGCGAAAAGATTGGGTTGGGGCAGTGGCCTGGTCGCAGCCTGGGCGACATGCGGCCTCGCGTGCTGCTGCTGCTGAACCTTGCTGTCCGAGGCTTGGGGAAGCAAGGGCTGCAGATTGTAGAAAGCAGACAGGGGTTTCCTTTGGAAAGCAAAACTTGTATATTGCAGAAAGCAGCCCTAAGGGTCCAAAGCACCTAGTAATTAGATACGTGGTTTAGGGATACTAGTTTTGTAGGTTAGTATCTGGGAGAGTATTTATCTGATTATTATAGGTATTGGGACCCTTAGGGAAAGCAGCAATGAGTCAGGTTTGTCTGTTCCACCCTAAACCCTAAACCCTAAACCCTAAACCCTGAACCCCAAACCCAGTTTATCTTGCAACCCAGAAGCTGCATGGGCCGCACTAGCATCCCGCGAAGATGCTTGCAGGTGCACCACTTGCCTTTGGTGGCCTGCCAAGGAGACTAATCTAGGGGGCCTAAATAGTTACCAAGACTAT